GGAAAAGAGTCACAGCACAGATCAGGATCGAGAAGTAAGAGAAGGTTGGTAGCAACCTCAGGGGCGAAAGGCTGTGCCCTGGCATGGGCGCACCAAGCTCGAACAGTACAGCGAAGGTGCTCAAGGGGGGCGATGAAATCAGCAACTACCTCCCAAGCAGCTGATTCATCGTCTGCATCCAACCCAAGAAGTGCAGCCAAAAGTCCAGGGTGGCAGCCAGGCTCCTCAGCATCAGCTCGCAAATCCAGTGGAGCAAGTCGACCTGGGAGCCTGAGGGGCGGGGCAGCGGGGTGTAGCGGAGACAGAGAAACACCCTCCTCTGGCAAAAAGGATCCCCAGGCAGCCTGGCACGCAGGAGTGACAAAAACGTGCCGCTTCATGCGATTGGCATTGGCAAAAAGCTTGCCACAGCCGCTGCACCAGGCCTGCTGACATCCACGGGTCGTCTCGGTGGCACGAGTACGATACCCGTGCACCTTGCTGGCATGACAAGCCCAGGAAACACGATCAGCAAAAGCTTTGCGGCACGGTATGCAAGCTTCGGTAGGGCGCTTCCTCTCCGAGTAGGAGGCATCGCCTGCCCCGGGGCAGAAATGGGAGAGGAAGCGGTGGCAAGCCTGAAGAGCGGCATGGGAGGTAAGGCGGAGCATCTCAAGCGCAGCGGCCCGCTTAATCCAACCACGGAAACGCCCAGGAGCACGGCACATAGTATCAGCCCAAGCGTGCCACTCACAGGCAGGGTCCCCGAGGGGGATCGTGGCTGACAGCCGCCGGTGCAGCCACGCCATAGCATCCCTGACAACAGCAAGAAAAGAGGGGCTGGATCGAACAAGGGCCCACAAAGCATCGGGCGCAGCCTGGACTAACTGACGCATGTACCGTAGGCGCTCCACGCGAAGCACTGTGGCTGGGTCGGGCAGGTGGAGGAGCGCGCACATTGTGGCCCCCGTGATGTGTTGATCTTCAGTCCGGGGGATGCAAAGGGTCTGCCGGTACATAGAAACGAGAGTTCTATGGAACAGTGTGTGTTCTCCTTGGCGAAGGGAGGGCCAGGCACCAGCCCCGAAGAGAAGCCTTGGGAGCACCATAGCACGTAGCAGTGCGCCTCTACGGGCCACAGAAATACGTCGGCACCGGTAAGCACGTACCCGGCCTTGCCGGAAAGCCGCCCAGGCCGAGGCACACCTGGCGCGAAGCTCGGTAAGGAACGAAGTGCCAACCATAACACCGAGGTGCTTATATTGCGCCACCAGGGGAAGTGGTGCAGCAGGGTGGTGCTCCCTAAGAACCGTGACTGCCCCAGCATGGCTGAAGAGGGCTCGCTTGGCAGCCTTGGACCCACGGCCCCCAAGGAGAACCATTGCAGCGGTTTTGGAGGCGCCGTAGGTGAGCGTATACCCATGGCAACCAAAGGCCTCGTCCAGAAAGGAAGCCTCAAGACCGACCTGGTGTGCGGCACGGGCAGAGTCAGACAGCAGAAAGCAAGCGGCAAGGTCGTCCGCCCAAATGACATCGCTCAGGCTTGGCCATTGTGTAGGAGCACCAGCGGGAGAAACATCCCGTCTGCCGTCCCACGGGATACAAGGAACTCGGCCAGCATTGGGATCAGCAGTACGAAGGGAGTCTCTCTTTGCAATGATGCAGCCGACTCCAGCGCTATACATGATGTCTGCGAGCGATGATCCGGGCCTCGAGCCACGGTGGGTGACCACAGGAATGTGGTCTCCTCGTAACGCAAACCAGGACCCACGATGCATTTCCGCGGCTAATGATTCGAGCCAAGGAGAGGCCCCTTTAGAGCGAAAAGCACTGCCTGAGGCCAACGTGTCGGCAACGTTGTCGTCAGCAGGAAGATTTGCAATGGCAAGAGAATCAACAGGGCGTCCATCAACATCCAAGCGCTGGGCTGTGAGATCACGGACGGAATTATAATATGCGGAGGCAACGTCTGCATACAGGATGCAGGCGGGCTGCTTTTGTTCAGAGCACCACTGCGCGAAGGCTCTGGTAAGATGACTCCCAAAAACCGCTGACGCTCCTTTGCGCCCTCCCAACAGCAGAGGGGGGGCGTGCGTTACAACATGTTTGTACAGGCGTGGGCGAAACGAGCGGTGGATGACTTTAGTTAGAGTCGGCAGAAGCATAATTGCTCTGTACGAAGTACAAAGGTTTCTCGCACCCTTGAACTTGTAGAGCCAGGTAAGGAGGGCTCCTTTCAACCCAGCAGCCTCTTCGCCCGAGAGGCCTAGCTTCAGCACAAGGGGCAGAACCAGGGAGGAAAGGGCGGCAGGCATGGCTTTAAAGGCTTCCCCGGGAATGCCATCTGGGCCGCTGGCCTTATTGAGCTGCGTGTGCGCCATGGCCTTGCACAACTCAGCGGGCCCGGGTATCTCGGTGACATCTTCGGGCAGGGGCCAGGCCAGACCTTGACGGGCAGCCACCACCTGATAGACACAATCGGCATCCTTCTGCACACCGGACTCCATGTCGCCGAAGTAAGTTCGCCACCGCTGCGTGGCCTCGGCGGGGGTTTCACAGACCCGGCCGTCAGCGTCGAGGACTTCCGGCAGCACTTCGGGTGCGAAAGGTTTCTTTTGCTTGAGACTTAGAAGCCGGTTTAAAGCCTGAAAGGATCCCGGGGTGTTGGCCTGCACCTCGTCAGCAAGGCTAGACAAATGTCGCGCCCTGTCAGTTCGGCAGGCATGCTAAAGCTGCTTAGACAAGCCCCTAAGGGCATCCCTGTGCCGCTGGCCTTGAACGGAGGCGTCGAGGGCCCAAGGCGACGCAAGGGCATTTTCAAAAGCCTCGGCGCCGCGGGTCGACCAGGCACGGAAGGCCGCAGCAAGGAGATGGTACTGCGTGTATGCCCGTAACCGGGCACATCGGTGGCGCAAAGCAGCGACCTGCGCATAGAGTGCCCATGTGTCATCAGTGAGGTAGTCTCTTCGCTTTCGTTGCTTAGGCTTAGGAAAAGCCTCAGCTAGAGCCCCCTGGAGGTATCCCACAAGCTGTGCTGCATGGGCATCAGCAGACGCATTCCAAGGGGCACGAGGGGCCTTGTCCACAATAGCCTGTAGCTTAGGGCGGTTGTTGCGATCGACTAGCGCATGTGCATCGATGCGAGCTGGCTTCCTAGTGCCTAAGCAGCCACCGGCGAGCCGGAGCCTGGCGGCTACACGAACAACTGCCGCAAAGTGGTCAATATAAGGCTGCCCAACATGAATCTCAGGGTCAACCCATGATGAGACGCGAGCACTCTCCCAACAATCGGGCAGGCAAACAAAATCAGGGCGCTGGAGTGCATTATTTCGCTTTTGCACATAGGTCCATGATTGGCCCGAGTGGAGGTGGCCCCAAGTTGAGGGCAACCAGCATTGGCAGGTTATGACAAGCTCGGCAAGGAAGGCGCCAGCAACATCTTGTTCCTCAGGCCAGCAGTCCCCGATCCTGCTGCAGCACTGGGAGCCCACGGCAGCATTGAAGTCGCCCCCCAAGACTAGCGGGGCACGGGTTGCAGCATGTTTCAGCAAAGTGATCGTACGCTCCCACCATTCATGTAACTTGTCAGCCTCTGTGCCTCGGTGGGGGGCATGTACAGACGCGAAGCAAAGTCGCAGTGACCCACTATGAAAGTGAAGGATAAGGCGGCGACTATCGCTATGGGCAGTAGAGAATGCTTCTCGGCAGAAGGTGGCGGCATGGTGGCCAGCATCGCCACTACGAAGCAGGGGGAAACCCTCCTTAAACCAGAGCTCGACACCAAAGCAGCCAACTTCGCTGCCGGAAGAGAAACGCAGGAAGCCCGAGGTTCGCAAAAATCCGGCCTCTGTTCGTGCCTCTTGGATAGCGGCAACCTGGATATCCGCCTTATCCAGGCTGGCCGCTAACAGGGCAGGGCGCCCTGCTGAAAAGGCAAGTCCAGCCGGATCACGGTCCTCAAAAGCACGTCCGCTAAGGGAAAGCACGTTATAGGTGGCGATGCTGAAAGCAAGGGCACCATCACCGGCACCACCTTCGGGGGTGGTCGCAGACTGCTGCGGGCAGAACGGGGCAAGCATTTGTTGGGGCGTCATGCCGAGGTCATCCCTAACTTCACCGGAAGCACTACCAAGGGGGGGCATGGCTGTATCACCAATAAGGGCTCTCGCCGCAACGCCACACCACTCAACGCGCGGGGCCCCCGCTGACCACCAGTCGAGGGGGTGAGAGCCGCCGGTTTCTTTCCATACCAGCTGGCCCACAGTATATCCCCTGGAGGCAAGCTTGGCTGTAATATCAGCAACTTCATTGCCAAAGTGGCCCTGATGGCCTGGTACATAGTCGAATACAAGGGGGGATCCCTGGAGAACTTCAAAACAGGCTGCTGTCCTGCGAAGGACAAGGGCGACCTCACTGGTATAGGAAGAAACCTCACCTGCAGCGACCCGAATGGCGGACTGACAGTCGGAAAGAAAATGAATCGACTGACCATGGAAAGCTGTGCATCCTACCCAAGTTGCTGCTGTTAGAGCCATGCACTCGGCCACAAAGGCAGAGGGTGCAACACTGAGATCCAGGAACCAAGGGGGGGCAGGCCCGGACACAATGCTGATGCACAATAAAGCCACATCAATGAAGACACAGGCCCAGCCAAGGAGGGCACCTTCAGGGTGAGTGGCGGGCGTATAGGAACCATCGACGTAGCAAAGCAAACCTCGCTCATTGCCAGGGGCCGGCATAGAGGCGCGCAATGAATGCGCTCGCCGGGGCGGAAGAGCTGCGAGCAAATCGCTCAGAGTACCAAAGCAGACAGCAGGCTGTAGGAACAATGATATTTGCTCACTGGTAAAGCCCAAGGGTGTACCCCCTAGCAACAAGGGCTCGGGGGACACATGAAGCCGACGTAACAGAGTCCCAAGCTGGAGCGGCGTGGGAGGGACCGGAGGAATGTTATAAGGCGTGCAGGGCACGACAGAATCAAGCGAAAGCACCAGGGGTCGTGCAGCAGCAGGGCTAGCGTGCGTGCCAGCAGAGTTCAAAGCTCTGTCGGCGAAGTGGTCGACAAGTGTCTCAAGCAGAGTGGCAGCAAGGTAGAAAGGGTAGCCATTGCTGTCGCGGCTGCTCTCCTCGAGCAACGTCTCAAACACAACATGGTCACCTTGCTCGGAAGGCTGCTGTTGGCCTGCAACGGAGCCAGGATCGCTGAGAACAGGGCCGACCCCGGGCGAAAGCAGGGGCCCTCCTGTCTTAAGCAGGGAACGCAGTGGTGTGGGCAGAGGTCTGTTGTTCAATGGAGGGCCGTCGGCACAGTGCGAGAGTACAGGATGCCCGTCGGGCAAGGACTGCCCCCTGGAGGGGGAAGCGTCCCTAGCAACAGCAAGTTGCATCCCCTCAGTAGAGATAGCAAAGTGCACAAACACGCAGTATACGATGAACGGCTTCCGTAGCCACCGAGCTGCGAGGGGGGCAGCCCAGGCGGCTAGGCGAAGGGCAAACCCGGCGACCGGGAGGCAAAGAGCAGCACAGACGGCCCATTTAAGAAGGCCCGCAGGGCACGGATGGAGGACGGTGAAGCTCCCGTGCAAACGGCAAAGGGAGCACGCGGATCCGGTGTGCCAACGAGGTGCCGGAGCAGCAGAGGTGCGGGCTTGCTTGTCCTCAAGAAGGACATGTTGACTGGCGAAAGCAAACTCCCACATGTTGCCCCAAGCCGTAGGGCCTCTTTGTTGTCGGGCAAGAGTTCCGAGCTGCGCATCCTCAATACATGCACCGCCGCTGACCGCCACTTGATAGTGAGCGGGAGGGCCTGCTGGCGAAGAAGAGCATGAGCTACCAGTACCGGCATCAGGGCTGGGCGGTGCTTCCGGAATGGGCCCAGGATCACCGCTGGTACCATCGTCTGGACCCTGATCAGGAGGCGGGCCTTGGGGGGATGGGCCAAAACCATCGTCAGGGGGCCCCTGAGCCCCTGCTGTACTCGGATATTGAACTGGCAAAAAGGCGGCAGTGAGCACAGTGCCGTCCTCAACCTGTATGTCGAGCCTAGACGGGTCGACCTCCTGCTGGCCATACCAAATATGGGTGCAGAAACCTTGGGGGCACCGGGCATTGGCTCGGGCGTAGAGACCTTGAAGGTCAAGACGCCCTCCATGACACGTGACAACACCGAGACCTCTCAGGATAGGCCGCAGGTCGATGAAGCAGAAAGGGTCCCGAATTGCTGCATAATGCTGGCCATTGGCGGTACCAGCAGCATACAAAACACTGCAGGTCACCCATCCGCAATGAGAGAAGTCAACGATGCGAGGTTGTGGAGGGCGAAGGATGAGCTCGTCGACCGGGATACGAAGGCGGAGAGCCAGGTCTTGGCGGACATACCTTCGCCTTGCCGCCGATACATGGAGCAGAAAAGGGCGGTCCTCGTTCAGGACCCAGGCATCGTCGAGATTCCAACCTGAGAAAGCGCGGATGAAAGTGAGGTCCGGATTCCAGCCGCGTTCAGACCGCAACATGTCGGCAAAGGAAGAGACGACAGATGGGCCTCGGCCGGCAAAGGTGATCTGAACCAGGTCGCCATGTTTGATGTCAACAGGCGTGGTGGGCGGAATCGCCCATGGCATCGTGCCGACAAACACGTCAAAGCGCGGGTCATCAGGCAGCTCCGCAGCTTGTAGGAGCCCAGCGCGCGTGACCTGACGCCCAATCTGGAGTGCAAACAAACGACCGTCAACGCCTGTAAGGTCAAAGGCAGCTATAGCCCCGTCAGGTGCCCATAGTGGCAATGCAAGAAGAAGGGCTTGTGCTCCAAGCGGTTGGGGCTCAACGGCACACAAAATCGGGAATCTCTCGCGGTCTCGATTGTTACGCACTTGGGACACATAAAGAAGCGCCACAGACGGTTGGGTCGCAACAGGTACCCGGGCCTCAATGAGCTCAGTAGTATAGTCCTGAGCTAGCACTAAAAAGACGCCAGGCACAAGGGTGTCTGTTGCATTAGAACGGCCAGGGCGTACTCAGCCAGCGTCTTCACCGTCAGGGCTGTGCGGTGGCTCTCCATCGTTCCCTTGTGCCCCTTGCTCAGATGCAGTAGCGGGCGCGCCAGCAGGGTTCTGTGATCCTGCCGCGCCATTATGTGCGGCAGCAGGGTTACCCTGCGTTCCCTCATGCGCAAGAGAGGGTGCCTCAGCGGGTGCAAGTACAGGCGTGTAGTCAACGATGATGACGGAGCCTGCATCAAAAATTGGGCGGCCGTCGGGCTGGTGCTCGCTGCTAAAACGGGGCACCCATCCCTGGGGCGCATCAGTCTGGAAGATCCGGGCAAGACTGTTGAGATCGGGGCTTTCTCCCTGCAGAAGCATAAAGGCAAAGCCCTCCTGGATTGGCCGCAAGTCAAGAAAGAAACCTTCGGGCTCACGGCCGATGCTCTCTTGGCTGTGGCAGCAGGCGGCTAGGAGTGTTCGACACCGAACGCCCTCGACCGCAATGTTGTCAGGAGCTCGGCGTGCATGGCAAATACTAAGTCGCCTGTCATCGACACCGATCCTGCGTGCTAAGTTGATCCTGAAACGGAAGGGATTCCTGTAGTTCTCGATGTGGAGAACAAACCGATTCTCGTGCACGACACAGTAAGCATGGTCAATGACAACTTGGGGGAAGGGCGTGTCATGGCCCCAGGCATCAGGCAACAGCAGGGTCCTGGCAAAAGGCAGCCCAACTACAGGTTGCTGGTCAGCAAACGTAAAAGAGATCTGAATGCCCGGAAACAAGTGTGCCTGCGCACCGTCGTCCAGGGGCTGGTCATCGTCACCCGCAAAAATATGGTAGTCCCCTTGCGGTGGAAAGTCAGCTAGTGCGATAAGGACTTCGCAGTCCGCATAGTCAGGGGCATGGCAGGCAAAGACGCGACCATCTATACCGGACGTGTTAATCAGGACCGTCATAGTCATTGGCGCCCATCTCGGAGCTGCAAGGACAACTGCGTGTCCAACCACAGACTGTGGTGATGCAGGGGTGAGAAAAGGGAATCGGATATATGACGCGGTTGAGCGAGCAGCCTGAATAGCCTCAATTGCTTCATCTGGCGTGCAAGGTAGCTCAAGGTCGACCTGTCCCAGCTCTGGCGGGTAATTAGGAATAAGCACCGCAAAAGACACTCGCACAGGTCTAGCCGTGTCGTGCTCGTTGGGCTCGTCAAGGTCTGGCTCGAAGAGAGCTGCCAAGTTGGCCGGGAAGAAAGGCCAGGCGACCCCAAGATTCCTGGTTGCAGTACGCAAGGATGCAAGGGCCAAATCAACCGATGGCCTCGCGCAACACGGTTCACACAGGAGCTTATAAAGGATCACAGGCAGGCTGGCGACGAGGAAGTGATGCAGCAAGCAGGCACATGTGTCGGCACGAAACAATGGACCGGCATCGCGGGCTGTGGCATCATCAGTGGGCAAAGCCACACTCGCAGTCAGCACAGGGGAAGCATACAGCATGACACACAGAAGTCCGCAAGGGGACGCAACTCGAAGTGCAGGGGACAACACGAGGGCTGTTAGCACGCCGAGTGGGTCATGGGGCGGCTCGTGAGGTCCAGGTGGGGGAGGGCCAGCAGGCGGGTTTTCATCCCCCCCATTATGGCTTGCCTGGCTGCTGCCGGAGCTGTTCTCCCAGATGCCATCGGAGTACTCTTCTGAGTCGGTCTCTGACCTGTCCGAATGCGCAAACCTGTGTGCCTGTGTTGCGGCCCCTGGCGGGATGGGCACGCAGGCAACGGTGACACGGGAACCATCGACAACTCTTAGTACACATCCGGGCCTGGAAAAGATGCGCGGAGCACCATCCGCGAATGGTACATATATATATATATATATATATTGTGTGTGTGTGCGTTATACTTTTTTGTATTTACTGTATACACTGTATAGGAGCATATAATATTTAATATGTAGTGTGTATTCTATACTACGGTTGGTGATATAAATCCAGCATTACCCAGCATAATGAATATACTATAATTCCCATAGTTTAGGGTCCTTAAAGGTAATGCAGGATGTATATCATCAGCCGTAGCACGTACCTATGCCCTGGCCGCGCTACCTCTTACCTGCCGAAACGCATCCGAAGATCGAAACTTATCCGAAACGATATTTTGCATCCAGGCCTATTGCGACTGCCGGGTACCCTGAAGAAAAAGGCCAGGCAAAGCTGCAGCATCATTGACTGCAACACTCACCCAATCACACAAGACATAATGCCTCGCATGCGGCCACTCTCAACAGCATCATACACAAGAAACATGCGAAAGTCTGAAAGGACACGTGTGTGCAAAGCATGCCAATCCTTAGGATGGGCAT